CACCTCGTCTAGGAACAAATTCAGACAAGAAACAAGGAATAAAGTACATTTATCGCCAGTGCATCTTTGAGTTATCTATAGTTAATGTTTAAAATGGCTTATAATGCAAATGAGGGTTTCGAATTTTATGAAAGAGAATGAATACAGAATAAAGAAACAATGAGTTATATAAGTTATTGTTGGAATGGGGATTAGCATATTCAATAATAGAAAAAATTACAGGTGAATCTGATTTGTTCTTTCAGTGAAACACCTTCATAAAGGATGATGTAAACAAGAATATCCAAACTTAAATCAAACACCTAGCATTCTTGTTCGTAAGAGTTAATAAACCTAAATTCAGCATTACATTCTAATACTAAAATCGTGCAAAATCTGGAATTAAGTATTTGAATACTAAAAGCAAACTTAAACGATTTTTAAATATTAGAAATAAGAATATACATAATACATACTTAATTGAAAAATTTTGGTGCTCGATTTAATAACGCAAAAACAAGCCCGAAATAGTTATTTATGCAACAAGTGTGTAAAGTTACCATTTTTTTACCCTAAAGGAACTTTACACACGAGTGGCATACAATATTTTTTCTACTACCGTACACATAATCCACTAATATTAGAAATATAAAAGTTACTTTTTTCACTAGTGAAAAAAAAGTACTTTACTTTACGCACTAGTGAAAAAAAGTAAAATGTGCCAAAAATTGTACACAGCAACAAAAATAAATTTATTGGAACTTTACAAATTTATAATTCTTACAGAACAAAATGACTAATAAATGAAGAAATATTTAAAAAAATAGGTTTTTAACTCTTATGAATATTAATATTGAATGTGCAATTATTGCAATTACCAAAACTTAAGGTTTTGGCCTTTTCCAGCACAGAGTTTGAAAAATGTTGTGATATTACTTTTGTAACCCTATTTTGAGCTTCGAGTGGTATGGATTTGGCCTTTTCAAGTAAAGAGGTTGAAATATTTTGTGTAACTCTAGTTTCACTGTCGAGTGGTTCCACTAATTCTTCATTAGAGTTGTCAACGGTAAAATTGTAGCTTTGTTTGAAAGTGGATGGCATACTGTCATCCATCAAAATTTTATTAAAAATTTTGTGTTTTTGTGTTATTGTGCTGTCTACGTAGCCTTCTGCAACAGCAGATGATTTCCATCCTCCATGTTTTTTGACCGTTAGAAGGTCTCCTCCAGAATTTGCCAGCATAGTGGCTGAAGACCTCCTAAAGCAGTGTCCTGTAAAAGCCGTTGGATTGGGCAAGATTAAATACGTTGTTATAACACTTGGCATTTTATCAAAAGTATTTATCCCTACAGGCTGTTTAGAATATTTTCCATTTGCGAATTTCAAAAAAAAATCTGTTACAATTTATATTTGATGGTCTTAATGAGGTATATTTTTTTATGAAAGATAAATAATCAACTGCAGAATTATTTGGATTTAAAATCGTAAAAATGCGTTCTATTCCATTTTTGGTTTCTGATACTTTGACAATATACACTGTTTGTTTATCTTCCACATCGTTAATTGTCATTTTACATAATTCTTCCCGGAGACAAGCTCCCGCAATTCCAATTATAAAAGCTACCTAAAAAATAACATATTGTAATGTTACAAATAATTTATTAAACATTAGGAAATATCTTGACGTTGCGCATGTAAAACTCCAAATAAATGCTATTGTAAAAAATATAAAAGTTTTAGGTATAATGTGCTGCCTAACAACCCCGGTGGCCTGTTAGGACAGCAACTGATTTTGTTAGGCAACACACCATACGAACACACATCTCGTTGCAAAACTTTACAGAATATTTTAATTTTATACTGAGCATTCAAGCATTTACTGAGGCATTTACTTACTTTGATCATTAAAAACTTGGAATCTGGAGCTTTCAACAGAAAATTAATTAGATCTTCTCGTTCAAAAATTTTGGATTTTTTTGGTTTATAACCTTTATTTTTTTGTTTGAGAAACGCTATTAACTTGTTGAATTTCGAAATATCAATGTTGTTTTTATATTTTAAGGTGATTTTGAGCATAGAATAAATCGACCATAGGGTAGAAGCTTTGCAATTCTTCAATTCATCAGAGAAATATGCTAAAATAACGTTTTCCGAAAATTTTGTCACCTTATTCTTCCTACACCATTCTATAAATACATTGTATTTTTGCTGATAAATATATGCAGATTTTTCTGGCAATAAATTTTCAGTGGCCTTTTGTGCACTGCATAAGATATCTGGGGGAGTATTATCAAATTCGCTATCGCTAGATAAATTTGAATCCATATCGATTATGACAGATATAATAAACTGCAAATAAAATTTGAATTTAAGTAAACAAACATTAAAAAGTAAAACTTTTTACCTTCTCAAACTTGATTGAGTTTAAAAAAATGCTAAATTGGCTTTAGAATCTAATCTTGAACTCAAGTATACTTTTGTCGTGTTCTGTTATAAGGTAGGTACTAATTAAAAGTTTAGAGATTGACAGTTCTTCTAAACCACACAGCCACGGCCAACTTACTTTTACCAAAATCGACATCCACTGTATGTTTACTTTTAATTAAATCGATGACATTTAGAGAAAATAATAATTAAAATAAACTGTTGATAATTTGGTGGACACTAAATAGATATAAGCAAAAATAATTTATTAATTTGTCTTAGAAGGAGATAGTAAAAAAATGTTAATATAAAATAAAACGTTATATTTTGTTGTTATGTACAAATTTTGTCAAATTTTACTTTTTTTAACTAGTGCGTAAAGAGTTTTACTTTACGCACTAGTGAAAAAAAGTACAACTTTACACACTTTGTGGAGTGCGTAAAGTACGTACTTTACGCACGGTAGTAGGAAAATATATTGTTATAGAAAATAAAAGCATAAAGCAATGAGCATGTTGGAAAAGAGTTAATGCGATGTTATATACAAATAACATTGTTTGAATTAAAAGGTTTACTTACTTACCGAAATTTGTAGAGACTTGAATTTAAGGAACACTCAGTATAGTATTATTGATACCTAGTCAACCATTTATGAATTGTATTTGAAACTAAAATAAAATTGAAATTTAAAACTTAAATTTATAAAATGAAAGAAATAGAATGAATCAAAAAAAAAATAATAATAATAATAATAAAAAGAGAAAATTTGTAAAATAGTTATAAGCTACAGTTTAAACGTTACTAGTTAAAGAAAACAGTGAATAAAATAAAGTGATATCTACAAGGAAAAATATAACTTAAGTATGAAAAATTAGCTTAATGAATGACAATTTTGTTACAAAAAAAAAAGAATAAATCAACAAGATAGACAGACATCAAAAATTTTGGATAAAGAAGTAAAAAGCAGATTACATTTAAATTGGATCAAAGAAACTGGATTAAAGGAGCCCTGAGTTAAGATATTGAGCTATAAAAGGTATTCTAGCTACCATTTTTACAAGGTAATTGACATAAATAATAATTTGACAAGTGTACACTAAGTACTGAAGTTACTTACCCTTTCGACTCGCCGAGTCATAATATGCACAACATTAATAAAGACAGTTAAATATATTCCTGCAAGAGTTTGTCACTATTCCAAATACGGACCTAACATTGAACTGAACTGGTTCACAAACAAAACTATAAACTTTCATTTTAATAGGCATTTGAGGAACACTTTTAAAACACATTTGCTAAATTAGTTATAAGGTAGTTTTAGGTGTACATAGTTTAATTTATTTATTAGCATTGAATGTAGTCGAGCCGTATTGTTTGTTGTTGTCTGATCGTGGTGTCATTTTGGAACTTAAAATTAAATGGGAGTGGCTATTGAGGTCTAATCTAACCGGTGTCTTGTGGTAAACTGTATTTTGGATAGACAACCAACAATACGCAAACTACATCTCCGTTTATGGCACAAACTACTATTTCAACAAGTAGAGAAGTGGAAATAGTGAGTTCGCGTCAGTTGTTGTTCATTTACATTTTCTTTTGATTTATTCTTATTTCAAGTAATGTTTTTGACAATTTTTGAAAGTTTTATTTGAATAAAAACATATGTTCAATTTTTAAACAAATTTATTTTGATTTGGGGTTTAAATAATAATAAAAAAAAGATAAAATATAAAATATAAAATTTGATTATTATTGTGGAACCGACACCTCTGAAGAAAAGTCTCTTGCTCGTACATATCTGAATTAAAAAAGGTGAGTAGTTAAAGAGTATAATCTTGGTAAAATTCCAACATGATCATTTAACTAATTGCAATTTAGTCTAATAAAAAAAAATTGATAAAGTTTGATATTAGTAGATATGTATAAAGGCGCTCAACATAAATAAAATAACAAATAAAATAAATAATTACATCTAAGTACTAATACAAACTATATCAATATATTGTATGTTAAATGAACGACATGTCGTGTGTAAAAAAACTCAACATCTAAATCAATATTTGATTCCTAGCAACGAGGTGATGAGCTCCAGTTTTAAGGAGGGAAATGGCTGAATTAGAACTAAGTCACGATAACTATTATACTGCTTGGGATTTTCAAGTAAACCGGTATGAAAGTTTAACAAAAAAAATCAATACTCACAAGATATTTAAGATTTGACAAATTTAATAAAGAATTTTCCAAACAGTTTTTGGATGCATTTTATAAAAATACTAAAAACTTATATACTTTAGAAAATTCTAATGAATATTGGGATTCATCCAAACACTAGCAGAGACTAGTAATGAAAGGCATCAATTGGTACATCACGTGCTGTCATCTCAATCCATTTTCACCTCCATGGTTAACCTTGTATTAATCACCGCAAACGATTGCTACGATAATAAATTAAGGGGAAACAGTGCCACCTGATCTCCGTCAAGCCTTTTTTCGCCTAATCTATGACTGGCATCAATATCAGGACTCCCTGTTCCTGTCCGTCCACGGTAAACTTTAATCCAGGTAAATCTGGACCATTGGATTACAATTTGTTACGCAAAATGCCTACAAATGAAACGACCCGTTCAAAATATGTTCGGGTAGGTTTCAAAGTTATTTAGAAATAATTTCGCCGATAAATCGCATCACATAGGTCAGATAGAGTTTGTGTCGGTTCGGAGGTTTTCAAAGGATTACGCCGGACTTTTTTCTTCTTCATATACGTGTCGGGATAAATTTCGTTTCCATGTTTGTGGAATTGGTTTTTGCTTCTTTTAATGCTGCACAGGTAAATATTGGGCTCAAACATTTAGATTCCAATAACACCCGATACGGTTTTTAAACGGAAATGTGAAATGTTTGTATGTATAGAGTAAGGTATATAAATCTGCGAGGATTTCTTGTTTTATGACAGACTAAATTTTAAGTAAAAAGGAAATTTATTTTGTAAGGTCTGTGTTTTGCTACATTTTGAATCTAACATTACTGCTAAAAATTACCAATTTATGCACTAAATTGGCTTAAAAATATGTTGTTATGCCCTCTTTCGTCAATAGGGTGAATATAACGTATATAATACCAATCCTTTCAATCTTTTACACACAAGAAAGTTTAGAATTTGAAGAGGCTTCAAGCTGGACAAATCTATGCTCCATCTAGTATTGGAATTTCGCCAAAATGTGAAAGGAGGTTTTGTTCTCCTCCTCACAGATTCTGCTTTCACTATCTTCTACAGGTCTAAATTTATTAAGGTTTCCATTGAGATGGCACTGCTTAGTAAAGATCCCCGTTATTATGCCTAGCTTGTTCTTGCTCACACAGATACAGACTTTCGATTTTTTCTGGTTATAGTCGCCCAAAAGTATCTAGCCCCAAGAGATGGTTTCAATTGTCTATCTGAAAATAGCTATATATAAAATTTAAAATTTTGTTAAAATCCAAAAGTTACTAGTTTCTATAGCAAATTTTCGTATAAAAATATGAAAAAATACTATTTTTCGAGAAAAATATCAAAAATTGAAATGATCAAAAATTGAAATGGTCTAAAACCATATATTTTGTTGCGTTGGAACAAATTCAGCACATAACGAATCTGCATTAAAAAAAATGTTTTTCGTGGGTAAACAAGCCTTCCAAACACTTAATTGAACAAGGATCTCAGAAAATTTACCTCCAAAATGTTATTCCCACATTTATGCTGGAAAACATCCCTAATTAAAAATGATATTTATTCTACATAAAATATCAAAAATAATAAAAAAACCTAACCGAACATACATAAAAAATTAATTGTATGTCGCCTAAAATAAAAGCATACTGATACAGGTCAAAGAATATAGATTTTTGCTTCTCTGCTGAAATGGTCTATATGCTCTCGCAAGAAACTTGAAGCCATTAGGTTATTCCTTCTGCAAAAACTTGTAACCCGAACACACTTCAAAGTTTACAGCAACAGTAAGACAAATCATCACTTACGGGGATGTAGCCTAGAGTAACAGTACTAGTTTAGTTACTATGCGAGCTAATGTCTCAAAAGTACAAAAACTAGTCTGTGTTAGCATCACCGACCAATTAGAACCTGTACGACTGCAATGAAGGTGATCTTAAACCTCACCACATTTAATGATAGAGAATGTGGTAAAAAGAACAAGATATGAACTGATGAGGAACGGAGTAATCCGACGAAAGTCTATTAACCCCAGGACGCAATAAGGAAGAAACACAGTTTTGAGAAGAACTTCAAAACCACGAAGCTGGGCTGCAAGAAAGAATGAAGCCAATTATCCGTCGTGCTTGCAACCAAAAAACCATAGAAGGAACAAAAATAGAAGGGTATGGGCCTTAAACCAGGTATATTGAAAATTTGGGTGAATACCAAAGCGTCATCCAGGCGGAAGTTCACGCAATTGAAAAGTCTATCCAGTTCAATACTGAAAGAAATTATATCCAGATAAATCATTAGCATGTCCGATAGACAAGCATCAATCAAAGTGCTGAACTCTTACATCATTAGCTCAAAAATGGTCTGGAGATGCTGAGAAAAACTAAAGGAGCTAGTCGAGGAAAATACAGTTACTCTTTCTTGGGTCCCGAAACAGAACGTGGTAAATAGTAACTAGATTGCATATAGTCTTGCAAGAAAAAAGACTGCAACTGCATGGATCTTTTTTAGAATTTCCAAGTGCATAGAAATAAGAAGACGGTCTTCGCTGTAATCTGAATATTGGGCGAATAGCTACATATTAGTATTTGGACTCTAGTATCTTGGAAGGTTGCTTCCATAATGTTTTGATTGATTCTCCAATCTAGCTGGCTGAACTCTATTTTCGTCATAGCTAGTGTCTTCACATCGAGCTCCAGTACATGCGCCCTCAAACTAAGTAACGCTTCCCATACTTCGTGATAAATTGATCGATCGTGGAAAGTATTCTTTATTGCTAGATATACAAGGTAACATGATATCAGTCTTAAAGTTTCAAGACTTTTCCAGTAGCTGGTAATTGATCAAACTTCTTCTGGAAAACTGGTACCAATCCTTTTGCGTCGTAGATACTGGCGGGAGTGCTATGGCCTCTACTGTTTACAACACAAAATTTTGAAATATTTATTGATTACTGCAATATGCTTTTAAAAAAATGTTAGATTGTGTTTTCCTATTGTCTTGCAATTGTCTTATATGCTGTTAGTCTATTTTAATGTATTTTTAAAAATTTTAAGTCTTTTCTATCTGTATATTCAATTGTTCTTCTTATATTTTAATTGTTTTAGTTCTACCCCATATCTTGCTTTCCAGGTAGCTCCATTTGCAACCATACATTCTTCAAAGGCAAGGAAACTTGTTTCTTGGCGTTGGTTTACGTCTTCAACTTCGTTTTCTTGATCGTAGTCACTTTTAAAAAATTGCGCCAGCCAGTTTTGATATACTTCCTTCCGTTTTCCGTTTGGCACCTTTCTTTCTTCACGAGGTCCATTACTTATAGCACTCATACCAGCCGTTTATATCATCGAAACTGTTTATCCATTAATACCTTTTATGAACTGGCTGAAGGGTTTTCTTAACACCGAGAAGTCCGCCAGATAGACTGTCGTTCTACTCGCGGCAGGACGCTCTTTCTCATGGCGTTCTTTTTCGTTAAGACATTCACCTTGGTTGTTGATGTACTGATCTGTTTTGGAATAAATAGTTAAGATTTAGAGCGGGTTGCAAGAATGTTTATTAAAATTTATTAACCCAATAAATGAAAATCTGAGAAATTTTAAAAGCTGAACAATATTTGTGTAGTTATTGCATATTGTTAGATACTTTTTTAAAACTTCAAGAAAAAGAAGAATATAATAAATACAGTATTTAAACTGTAGTTATTGTTTTATTTTAATGCCATTAGTCATATCTAAAACTACTCATTATATCGATTGACATTTTGATTCGAGTTCAAATGCTATAAACGGCTTTACATTTAATTGTTTAGAGAGCTTATGTTAAATTTTGAGGTATCGAACGATAATAAATTTTCTGACTTTTAAATAAAAGACCTAATTTAAAAGCTAAATTGATCAAATCAGCAGACTAATGCGATTTGGTGGAATATAATGTACTAATTTGCACAATAAAGGATTATTTTATATCTCATGCCGTTTTAGAGAAAATAACTAAAAATGTTAATACAATACATTAGACTAATATTGAGTTTGTACTAATTTTCATATACCGAATACAAATAGAAGTATTTTTATTCAATAAAATAAAAATATTTGTAAGCAATGTTTATAATTGCCTAAAAATGGAAAATCCTTCATTTTCTGTTGACGATACTGTTGAAAAAATAAGTAATATGATAGGTGTAAGCAAATCAACGATATATAAAGTTATAAGTGAATTATAAAGTGGAATTGTTAAACCCCCAAAGAAAAATACAGGAGGTAAAAAAAAGTAGAATTTACTGAACAAATTAAAAGAAGAAAAGTTCACGAATTTTAATTTAAAAAAGAGATACCAAGACTTGCCAAGGTATTGGACGCAATCAATAGTGATCTGTGTTTTCGTGAAATGGGAAAGACAGAACTGCGGGAAACTCCAATAGATTTAAAGTTCAAGTGGGATAAACAGGACAGGAAAGCTGCACTTATTGTTTCTGAGGAAATTGTTTGTTGTAGACGGAGATACCTCAAAACCATTTTTAAATTGCAGAAGGCTAAAAAATCAAATCCACTACTAAAATATTGGAGAATACCAATTTGCTGATTAAATCACCATTTTTAATTATTAATTATTTCCTTAATCATTTGTTTAAAATATAAAGTTTTAAACAATAAGCATTGAAAATGGCTTAATACCGAAAGCGCTGAGCTATTTTAATAAAAAACTTTAATAAGCTAAATACAAGTTTTCTTTGCTGAATAAAATTTTGTATTGTATAAACTATGGGTGTCATTTATTCGTGAAAAGTAATAAAGATTTGGATTCTTCGATCCTATAAACAGTAGATAATATGTGAAAAACAAGACAAAAAACTGTTCATTTAAATTTAAATTCGTATAAGTGCATCCCGTTATTAAAAACACAATCTATAAGTAACGAGAAAACGATGATTAAATAGTGAAATCCTTAATCAAGAGATGATCAGAATTAGCCATCAATAAGATCGATAACGGCATTAAAAGGCCTTATTTTTACCGAGCAAAAGATTCTGGTTGAAATCCTTCCACGACGGTGATTGAGCTGTTCGCAGCTTTGAGTCAAAGCTTTTAACTAAACCTGGTGTTAACAATTAATCGTCTGTGATCAAAAGATAAGGGAACGTGATTAAACTTTTAACGGCAGTAATACTTTCTATCTGAAGCTTCTGAGCGGCGAATCTCCATTGATAAAAGACGATAATTACAAAGCTTAAGATTTATTTTTGTATACTCTGATACGTTCGGTTAGCTTGATTAACCTTTCACATTCGTCGGTTTTTGTTATAAATAATTATTTTGATACAATTAATAATAATATAATAATAATATTTATTTGAAAATATAAAAGATACATATTAAAAAATACAAAGCACATATAAACAAGAAACAAAAACCACGAAGCAGGTCAAGCCTACTTGTGAGT